ATTCAATTGCATGTATATAAGTATAATGTAATTCAGAAGGCAATTTTGGTAGTTTTTCTAAAGGTTTTTCTTTCCCAAAACATTAGTAGTAATGTTAATATATTTTATATTACCTTCAGTTGCAATTTCAGTATATCCTTGACGATATATGTCATTAAAACTCAACAAATTTCTCTTTGATTTTGGAGAGTATAAAGCATTATTAATGACAAACTTTGTTCCATTTGACAACATGAACATAGCATTACCTGTTCCTTCAATCAAATCAGCAGGATCTGAGATTGTATTTATTACACCTTTAGTAGGATTTATTTCAGTGAAATGTTTCTTACATTTGGGTAGTTCCACTGTCTGGAATGCAAATGTCTTCAACATGTTTCGTGTCTAACCTAGTGTAGTAATAACTTCTTATAGAAACGATCGTGTTGATAATGTGTTGAGAAAAATTGATTTTGAATATTTATTAATATTTATGAACTAATATAAGTTACTAAACTAATTGTAACTATTAAACTTAGATGGAAAGATTGAAGAAATGAGAATTTTTTACTTGTGCTTTCAAAATATTTTTTTTTGTGTATTTTTTTTACATTGGCCAAAGGTAGTATTTATACTACTAGAAATACAACTATTATACTAATGTAATAATTGGACTTACTATTTTAACTTTGACAAATTATGTATCTACAATAATTTGTCATTACCATTTAAATAAATATTTCTAAATAATAATATTATTATAACATCGACTTGTATTTTGCTTTTTTTCACAAATAAATGACGATGTTATTTCTATATTAAAAATAATAATAATTAAGGAAAATATGGTTGAGAAAAATATGTGTAAGTTAAAAGCGTTGAAAAATAAAAGTTCCATATTGATTAGAAAGTGAAAATTGAACAGAATTTAAACAGTTATTACTTTAAAATTTTAAGTGAGGATGTAGTGTATCTCTAATATCCAAATGTAAAATTGTCCTTCCCCAAATTGATGATCAAACAATGGTATTATGAACCATTGATTTGAGTGAATGACTGATCAGGAGACATATTTTGTTGAAAAAAATGCCAACGGCAATACGGTACAAATATATTTGTACGAAAGAATTTATGTTTGAGAAGAATAGTATGGATAAACTCACACTTAACGAAGAATGTTGAGAAAAACAAATATAAATTATAAATGTTAAAAATAAATATAGAAAGTTACACATTAATTAAAAAACAGAAAATTTAAATATTTTATAAATAAAAAAACTCATGCACTTATTACTTTAAAATTTTGATTAAATATATAAAAGATGTATTACTAAAAAAATAAAAATAAAAAATAATGTTTGATATTGATCCACAAATTGATGAAACAAGAATAAAACATTATTTGTACTGGTAGAGATGACAATGACAGAATGAGGTGAAACCAATATACATGTGCAATAATTTGAAAGCTAGCATCAAATCAAGATAGCGTCTTGTTTCCAACTGTCTAAAAAAAATCAGCTTCAACTATTTTTGTTAGAATACAAAATAGTCATGATAATATCCTAAAATCATTATTTAAATGTAATAATAATAAATAAAAACCATTTTTTGAATGGTCGAAAGATGAAGAAACTTCGTTTGGAGATGCTACGACAAGGAAGGAAGTATCTGAGGGTCCCCTGAAAATTAAATAATTTAGAGTGCATCACAAGAAAAAATATAACATTATGATTGTAAAACAAATTAAAATAACAATTATTGTGTGTGTAACTTTCTTGGCAAGTTTTGAGAAGAAGGGATTACAATTTTTTGTTTAGAGAAATTGAGAAATAAACAGAGAAAATTTTCATATTTTTTAGATAATATTTTTGTTGAAATGTTAGATAGATATTTATTATTAATATAGTTTTAATATTATTATAATAATATGATTTAATTTAAATAATCTTAAATGTACTTTTTATCTTTTTATTTTAAGTTTTTAATATCTCCTTTTTAAAACTCACTCATTTCTTTATATTTAATAATTTTTGGAATAATTTTAATCTCTTATTTTAATTTTTGCGTGTCACAAGTCAATTTTATATGTCATTTAATTAAAATAAAAAATTAATTTTATATTTTTAATTAATTATAAATAAATGAAAATGTCAATATAAATTGGTGATAAATTTTGTCCTGATTACTTAAGAGATTAAAGGTAATGTATTACTATCAATGTAAATTAATTTTACATTATCATTTAATAAAATTATAGCATTATGTCATGTTATATTATGTTATATCTGTATTTTAAAATTACACGTGCGATTTGACAGAATATACGTTCGTGATTGATTGACAGTATAAAATTACAATCTCGATACATATTTTTTCCTCACGTATTAAATGAAAATGCAAATCACATAAAATTGAAGGAGTACAAAAAAAATTGAAATTATTTAAAAGGAGGTCAAAAGATTGCATTTTAAAATGAAGAACTATAAAAAATTAAAGTAGTGAAAAAGTTTATTTAACCTTTTTAAAATTTTATTAAATCTTTTCAAAATAAATTATTTAATATAATTTTTATATTATTGATTTTTAAATATTAATAACTTATTTACATTATTTTATTATGAGAAAATAAAAAAATAAATATGTTGAGTGTGACTCATATTAAGTGAATTACTATTTGTAGGTAATTAGAGTATCTTTAATGGAAGTAAACTAAATGGATAAACTAAGATATTTTTTGTGGGCTCAAAGTGATTTATAGAATTTAAAATATTTAGAGTTGATTTGAATTATTTTTACTTTAATGATGATTGCTTGTAAAAAACCAAAATCTGACCCCACATTTTATAGTTGTTGGAGCTTTATTGATATTTTAATAATATAAAACAATAATAAAATAATAATAAGAGTCATTGATAATGGATAGTGTACGTTCGTTATATAGTTTACTCCCACTAATTGTTAGTTCACTTACTGTCATGTCATTCTTATTTCAATGCAAATTGCTTATAATTGTTGTTACTATTAAAAAATTTAATACTACAGAACCTACACTAAAGATGCGTGTAAGAGGCTTCAAATGTATTATTGTAAATTGAACTCTAATTATTAGACATAAATATTAGGAAGTTTAATTGCTTTATAGTCACATCAATTTGTACTATTGATTGAACTACTTTAGAGCATCTTTAATAAGAGTAAACTAAATTGATAAACTAAGATATTTTTTGTGGGTCCAAAGTGTTTCGTAGGATTTAAAAAATTTATAATTGATTTGAGTAGTTTTTATTTTAATGATGGTTGTCTATAAGAAATCAAAACTTGACCTATATTTTATATTTTTTATTCAAGTTACTATTAATTTAATGATGTTGGAATATTTTATTAATATTAAATAATATTATAATATGTTTTACATTGAATAGTTAACGTTAACTATATAGATAATGGAAACTAAACTTTAGTTCACTAAATGCCATTTCAGCTCTACTATAATGCAAATTTTTTATTATTAACATAAGTTATACAAAATTTTAATTTAGCAACCATGCACTAAAGTTGCTCTAACAAACATCAATCGTATTTATTATTTTTTTTTTGTTTTTCTTTAATCTTCTGTATTAGTTTTTGTTTTAACAATTGATAATAGATAGTAATTAACACTAGTGTAAAATTCAAAGTAAATTAGAGATAATTTGAAAATATGGAAAGTTAACAAAGATCAATTATATTTACTGTCAGTTTTTTTTTCTTTAATCTTCTATATTAATTGTTGTTTTAACAATTGATACCATATAGCAATTATCCCTAGTACAAAATACGAAGTAATAAGATTTGATTAGAAATAATTTGAGATTTTGAAAAATAAGAGTTAAAGATCTATTAGCTCAGAAAAGAATGTTGCATGATTGATTTGCTTATTTATTTTAGACGAAGTGATGCACCATATCTTAGAATCCAGTGTAGAAGGAGATTTGAGACAAATTAAAAAGTTAGTATATGTCAAAGACGACGATGAATAAATTATTTGTGAAACAGCGACTATATAGTCTGAAGACGAGGGAAGAAGTTGATTTATAAAAACATGTTAATGTCTACAACAATATGGTCGCCGATTTAGTGAGGTTTGAGGTTAAGATTAATGGCGAAGATAAGAAAATTGTCTTGTTCCGCTCGTTACTAGGTTCGTATGATTACTTGGTGACTATTCTTACCTACAAAAAAGATTTTATCAAATTTGATGTGATTACTACTACATTTTTTATTTCATTTTAAAATAGATAAAGTGTAGAGGAAGGAATTCAAGACGATGATCTATGAATAAAGAAGAGACAAAGATAATGAAGCTTTTAAAAAGAACATGTATAGATTCATGACATTAATCTTTTATTTCATTCGTCTCACAATAAATTTATATTTTTTATTTTTATTTGTCTCTTTGAAATATCAATAAAATATTCATAATTTTTCTATTCACTTATTCTTATTTATTATAGTTTAAATTATATATCTATTCAACTATCTACTATTAATAAAATTATTTTAATAAATAACATTCATTTTCATTGAAATCAACACAGTAATTCTATAAAAAATCTCAATAAGAATAATATCTATTGTGAGAGGGATGGAGTAATTTTTTTTTACACTATCCATAAATTACAAATGTTAAATAATAAAAAACACATGAGTTTATTTATGGTATACAATCTTTTACAATAATATGTTGTACTTTTTATTTTAAAAAATAGACAAAATACCATGTAGACATTGAAAATCATTAAAAAGTAATTAAAAAAAAAGTGAGTTGATAGTAAGTTTTGGCATATTTATATTATAAGAGTGGTTGAAAAATGAGATGTATAGAGAATGGTGTAGCATTCTCTTTCAATCTCCATCAATTTCATCTCTTCCAAATCAGATACCATTGCTATTTAATTTCTCAACCGTCGTCTTATCTACCCTTCATGTGATACTCATTGAAAAGAGAAAAGCATAGCCACGGATTCACTGTCACAAAAATGGTGATATTGAACCTTGGAAAGAAGCATGGTAAGAACAAGTTGGAGAATGAAGAAGGAGTGAGACTTGGAAAATATGAATTGGGTAGGACTCTTGGTGAGGGCAATTTCGGTAAAGTAAAGTTTGCTAGGAACACTGATTCTGGACAACCTTATGCTGTTAAGATTGTTGACAAGACCAAGATCATTGATCTCAATATTACCAACCAGGTTTGGTTTAAATGTTTTTTTTTATTCTTTGATATTTCTGCACAGCTATCGATTAAATTATTTAAATCTATTTAATTATTAATAAAGTTATTAGTTGAATTAAATTACAAAAACAATAATTATGTGATAATGGTTGTGAAAATTGTAGATAAAGAGGGAAATATGTGCCTTAAAGCTCCTAAGGCATCCCAATGTTGTTAAATTATATGAGGTAACAATTTTATCATTTCTTCTGTTTTTAATTTTTTTTTTATCGTTCTATGAATATTTAAAAAAAATTAATCACAATGGTATAAAAAGGAAAAAAATTAATATTAGAAGATTATCCTCTAATAAATATGAAAAGATAATTAAAAGAATTGAAAAAAGAGAATAGTATAAATAACATTAATAATTTCTTAATATTGAAAAAAAAATATTACAACTTGATATAAATATTTTTCTTAAAATGACATGTAATAAAAAAACATAGAGAATATATATTTTTTTAGGAAAGGTAATGCCATGTGCTATAAAATATAGTATAGTATAGCGTATTATTTTACACATATCTTTATCCAAATTTGTTACAACATGTTATGGAGGTTGATATATAAAATGAAATGTTTATATTATTGACAACACGAGTGGAAGTTTGTTACATTTAAATTATTATTTTTTGGATGTTTTTATATATTTAATTTAATTGTCAACAACGCAACTCCACGACCCTAAAATGTCAATGGATGAAAATATAAAAATAAGTTAATCTCCGGAATTAATTAGTTATTATGTTGACAAATTCTGCTAATTGTTCTATGGAATGTTTTATTTTAGACAAATGTCTCATTCTATTTGAATTTATTACTCGTGATCCAATTCAGATATATTAATTCTTCATTAAATTTAAAAAATAATTTTTTCTTATATTAAGAAGAAGAGAGTATAATTTTGTTTACTTTCTTAACGAACTCATTATTTGATTCTGATTTCCCAGTTATTAAAAATAGGGGTGGTGATGATAGGTCCACAAGTTCTATATTTTATGTGCTTTTATCCATCCATTACTTTAAATCACATAATTAATTTGTTATTAGTTTTAAATCACAAGTTCTATATTTTATGTGCTTTTATCCATCTATATTTTATGTCTTTTTGAAACTAAATAATCATTTTTGTTTACACATGATGAAACAGCGTGAGGATAACAAATCAAATCATATCACGTTACCAATCTTTTTCTTTGTAACCTAAGTTTTTGGGTGTCGTGTTTACCACTATATTAATTTTGATGCTACTTATATGCTTCAATTCAAATGTTAATAATTTCTATGAATTCTGTCGTCCACTGCACTTTATTATAATCATTCAGATTATGCCTCTACTAGGCCCTTTTGTACATAACCATGTTTTGTTGGTCCCTCCCACCATCAAATCCTATTTTGTCTGGTATACATCGAGCTCTGTAACACCGACACATCTGAAAAAATGTGTGTCTGTATCAATGTTTCTGACCGAAACCGACATTAATATTTATGATAATATTTAAATTATTTATTTTTTAAAATTATTACTAGTGTCGAAGTTGTGTTTCCGGTATCTATGTTTCGTAGCTACTGAGTTTCTCCATATCAACTTGCATTATACTCTAGTAATTGATGTTTCTGATTATATATTATTATGATTATGATTACATATAGGTATTGGCTAGTAAAACAAGAATTTGCATGGTACTTGAGTACGTGACTGGACAAGAGTTATTTCACAAAATTGTAAGTAGTAACATTTGCTTCTTGCTAATGTCTGTGATTCAGTTGATGACATTTAATGATGTTGATTGTATTCATAGGCTTCCAAGGGTAAACTTAATGAAACAGAAGGTAGAAAGCTGTTCCAGCAGTTGATCGACGGCGTCAGCTACTGCCACAGCAAAGGTGTCTTCCACAGGGATATCAAGGTTGTTTGGATTGATTCATTTGAGCTTATTTCCAGAAGTTGAAATTGCATTACTTACTTGGTGATGCTATTATCTTTTGCAGCTTGAGAATGTACTTGTGGATGCTAAAGGAAATCTAAAGATAACTGACTTTGGCCTTAGTGCTTTACCCCAACAATTTAGGGTAAGATAAACTCTGAGAGCTAAAAGTAAAACAATGGTTTCCTCTATTGGCTTATGTGATGTTAAACTGTGAAAAAATTTAGGAAGATGGGTTGTTGCACACAACATGTGGAAGTCCAAACTATGTTGCACCAGAGATTCTTGCTAATAGAGGCTATAATGGTGATTCGTCAGATGTATGGTCGTGTGGTGTTATCTTGTATGTACTCCTAACAGGATACCTACCTTTTGATGATAGAAATCTCGCAGTTCTCTATCAGAAGGTATTTTTCAGATGTCGTGATTTCTCGTTATCGATAGCTACTAGGCCTGTTATAGTAGTTTATGAAATTTGTTCTTGTGGCGGTAACAGGTTTCAAAAGGAGATTGTCAGATACCGAAATGGATATCGTCTGGTGCACGGAACATTATAAAGAGGATTCTTGATCCCAACCCTGAAACCAGAATAACAATGGCGGGGATCAAAGAAGATTTGTGGTTCAAGGAAGGATATTGTCAAGCAGATCCTGAGGACGAGGATGAGGATGTATACGTTGATAATCGAGCCTTTTCCGTCAATGAATTGGTATATGTCTGAACTAATAACTGTGTGTCCATGACAGTAAATTTGGCAGCCACCGTGATTTTGCCTTTTTTTCTTTGTTGTAACTCGAAATTATTCTCTTGGTCACAGACAAATGAAGAAGAAAAAAGGAGATCAGAATCTCCGATCCGTATCAATGCATTTGAGTTGATAGGGATGTCTTCAAGCCTAGACCTGTCTGGACTTTTTGAGAACGAGGTGAGAATTCAAGTAAATTAGCAGAAAATTTGCGTTGTTATATATTTTGTGCACGACTTTTCGCCACTTCCCGAGAAAATCTCACTCATTTTTTCGCATACTATGTGGTTTGAGTTACAGCACGTATCCGAGAGGAAGATAAGGTTTACAACTAACCTTTCAGCCAAAGAGCTGATGAAGAAGATTGAAGATTCTGCGGCAGATACGGAATTTAGAGTTCAAAAGAAAAACGGAAAAGTTTGTACTAGTGTTGATCTATTTGCTACAAACCTGCATGTAAAGTCATGTTAGTCTAGTTTGACAAATAATTGAATTAATATTTCAGATAAAAGTGATTCAAGAAAGTAAGGAGCATAAAACCCCTGGCAGCCTCTCGGTGACAATAGAGGTAATCGATGTTCAGAATGTGTCCAAGAGCTAAACCATTGTAACTGATATTTGCATATAAATTTCTGCATAATTTGCAGTTGCGCACATTAAGAAACTAACTTTACCTTTTAAAATATAACAGGTTTTCGAAATAAGTTCATCATTGTATGTAGTAGAAATAAGGAAGTGTTATGGAGATGGCTCTGTATATAGACAGGTATTTATATTTTATACTCTCTCTCTCGCTCTCGCACACACAAGATATTCTTATCCTTAACATTTTTCATGTGGTGCAGCTATGCAAGAAATTATTAAATGATTTTGGTGTTCCCCAAGGAAAGCGCTAGTGAGCTCAGAAGTGAAAATATTTGGAATGACATATCGAAATTGTGGTATTCATTGATCTTACCGATCATTGTGACTTTTCTTCTTATATACAGAAACAAAGGTCGAAATATGTTACAGAATAGTGGCACCAGTTTTGAATATAGCAATAAATTAAACAGTTGAACCCTGAACATCTCTATCTAAAAGCTAAATTTCAATGATCTTGAAATTGAATATATTTTCTTGCATCAGCTTCAGTGTTGTTTTCCAAATCTTTTGTTTATCATAGTTTCATCTATGAAATTCATCATCAAATAACAATCCTGCCTATGTTAGTTTTGCTATGCATCGCCGGTCTCAAACTCAGATAAAACTTTGGATTGCAATACAAGCAAAATTTTATTTCAACACAATGAGTGCTTTTGAACACATTTGATATATAACTAGATGCATTAAGTAGCCTTCTGGCACCAATGAGTTTGATAAAATTATAGAACCAAATCAGAGACAATATTTCGATCAAGGGAATTTCACTATGCAAATAATTTACATGGAAAATATACCTCTTTACAAATGGTTCTAGCTAAATGACTATTTTCACTTCCTTTGAGGATAGACTGAGGGTATCCATGGAAGGAAAATCTCTCACGAAAAGTGGAGTTTACGAGTGTTTTGTTCTTTGTTCATTTCAATTAGATGCATCACTGGCTTACAAGCCTGTTTCCGAACTCCTTATTAAAAACCTGAATTAGACCACTTTCATCTGCCATATGAAGCTTCTCATCCAATATTTTCTTGTACTCGTCATCTCTGTCCTCTAAATTTCGCACCATCTCAACCTACAAAACCAGGTTCCACAAGAGTTAGTTACAACTGGTTCATTAAGAAATTATGTATAGCTGTAATTTCTGAAGAGGAAAAAAACAATGAGATGAAGAAAACAACAAAGGGAAAATCAAACATCAGGTATCTTTGACAAGACATCAAATCACCTGTTTTTGGAACGTATGGAATTCATCAGAGCTGAGGGAGCCATCACTGTTCGAGTCAAGGAGCAGCATCATGTCGTGTGCATCTTCTCCTGGTGCACCAAGCTCCTCTATCACCTCTGTAAGTTCCTCAATGCTTATTTTACCATCTCCGTTTTTGTCAAGAAGGCGAAATACTCTATCCCTCTGATCAAACCCAATCCCTTTATGATTTGCACTTGGAAAATCTCTAAGGCGCAAAGCAGTTAGTTCAGCTGCAGCAACCATGATCGCCTTCAGACGCTTTGCCTAACAAAAAATCAAAACAACAAATGTCAGTTTCCTTCTGTCTTCTTTCCGGAGTTAGGTCTGCGCATAGTTTAATTTAAAAAGACGACACTAACCTCCTCGGGATCAGTAAGACCGGCCTTGTATAACGAATGAGACGCCACTCCACCAACAGCTAACCTATCCATTTCGGTTGTTCTTATCTGTATTTCCATCAAAGGCCTAGTCCTCCCAATGTCACTTACATCCACTGCCATATGCAAACTTTTGTATCCATTCCCTTTAGGCCTAGCAATATAATCTTTAGTCCGAGACGGAATTTCTTTCCACATAGATTGAATGATCTTATGAGCCCTATAGCATGCTCTTTCTCCATCTTCTATTGCATTACTTCCCGGCTTAGGATTCAACACCACTCTTAGCCCAAGCACGTCATTTACATCTTCTGGCCTTCGCCCATCCTTCAAGAGCTTCTTCATCGTGCTGTAACGGCTTTTATATCGACCTTTAACTGAGATATCCTCCACCAACTCCGCGAGTAAGGGATCAGCATTTAACGACTGAAGCAGTTTGTCCATGTATACGTCAATAACCGATATACCTCCAGTCTCCTGACTTCTTAACCACGTATCCACGTAAAGATACGAATAAGGAAACAAATACCGAAACGAGAGATCTTCCAATTCAAGCGATATGTAGTTAGTTCCCACAGCATAAGCAAGAGGGGCATATATTTTCATAGCTTGCAGAGAAAGTATCTGCTGCTGATACCTCGGAAGATGACCAATATGCCTCATCATATCAAGCTTCAAAACCAAGTCCAAAATCAAAGCCCTGATATCATAGTAAGTTAAACAGAACTTTCTCAAAGTAGCAGCATTCTCATCATCCAGAATGTCTACTCTAGACGCAAAGTTGTTAACACGCAAACTTTCGTGCACCAAATTAGCCGTGGAAGAACCTATCTGGTTTCGAATTTCATGTAGACTTAAGCCGCGTACTTCCATCACTTGTCTCAATATTCCGGCTGATATAACTTCTGCATCCATCTGCAATCACATTTACTATAAACAAACAATAAACAGCAATGAAATTACGACACTTCTCTCCGAATTCTCTGGCTTTATCCGAGAAGATCTAAACATGTCAAATGAATAGAACTATTGAGTGAGGAAGAGGAAGAGTAGTAGTACCTGAAGATCAGCTAGAAGAACAGCAATGGATAAGGCTTTGGAAAGAGGAGAACGGCCATCAGGAGTAAGAGGGGAACCTTGAAGAACTGGAATAGATAGTTTCAATGATTTGAAGAGAAGACCGGAGGAACTTGTTGACAGCACCTATTGTGAAAATCAGTTTCTCCATTAAAGAACAAGAAATGCATAACAGAAAATGCAGAATGTAGGAGAAAGAAGTTTTCAGGGAAAATAAATAATAGCTTGTTATTGACTTACACATGTGATAACCATGTCCATATATAGTATATGGTTATCTCTTAACTACCAATCAAAAATAACTAACAAACTGAAGCTAACAAGTGTCCACAAATTATCCACACAACTCTATTAAGACTATAAACTATATTATATTCTCAACAGCCCCTCTCAAGCTAAGCATGGTGAATGTTGATCATGCCAAGCTTGGAAATGAATTTATTGAAGGTTGAAGTGGATAAAGCTTTGGTTAGGAAATCAGCTAGTTGTTCATGAGTTGAAATTGGTAGAAGCCGTAGTAAGCCTTGCTGCAATTTTTCACGAACTAAATGGCAGTCAATTTCAAGGTGTTTTGTTCGCTCGTGGAAAACCGGATTGAGTGCAATGTGCATTGCACTTTGGCTGTCACAGTACAAGACAGGGAGTTTGGTACATGTAATGTGCAATTCCTTCGTGAGAGCTATCAACCAAAGCAATTCACATGTAGCAAACGATAATGCCCGATACTCTGCCTCTGAAGATGACCTGGAAATGGTATTTTGCTTCTTCGCACGCCATGATATAAGAGAAGTCCCAAGAAAGAAACAATAGCCTGAAATGGATTTTCTTGAATCAATACATCCTGCCCAATCAGAGTCAGAGAAGCCAAGTAGTTGCAATTCAGCATCTCTTCGAAACAAAATTCCTCTACCAGGACTGTTTTTCAGATATCGTATGACTCTGCAAGCAGCATGATAATGTGCCATTGTTGGATTGTGAAGAAATTGACTGAGTTGTTGAGTGGCATACGTAATGTCAGGACGTGTTGTGTTGAGGTCTAGTAATCGACCTATCAAGCGCCTATAAGTTATCGAGAGGTGTGGGAGCTGGTTTAGATCCAAGCATACCAGATTCTTGCAAGAGGTCAAGGCAGTATTTTCGTTGAGATAAAGAGATACCTGTTTTCGAGTGAGCAAGTTCAAGGCCAAGAAAGTACTTCAATGTTCCCAAGTCTTTGATACTGAATGTTTCATCAAGGATGTGTTTGATGCGATCAAATTCAGACATAGAATTGCCGGCTAAGATTATGTCATCGACATAAACTAAAATGGCTGTGAAATGTATGTCAGTTTTCAGAGTAAACAGTGAATAATCAGAAGCAGATTGAGTGTACCCTTGATGCAACAGAAGAGCAGTCAGTTTTTCATACCATTTGCGACTTGCTTGCTTCAGACCATATAAGCTCTTTTGAAGTTTACATACTTGATTAGGTTTGTGGCATGTAACACCTTCAGGTATTGTCATGTACACATCTTCTTTCAATTCCCCGTGTAAGAATGCGTTGTTGACATCAAGTTGGTGTAAGAACCAATTACTGATAGTTGCAGTCGTAAGGAGGGTTCTAACAGTTGTAAGCTTCGCTACTGGTGAAAACGTGTCAAAAAAATCCAGTCCCTCGATTTGATTGTAACCTTTGGCCACAAGTCGCGCTTTATACCTCTCTATCGTGCCATCTGCTCTATGTTTCACTTTAAACACCCATCTATTACCAATTGGCTTGACATGTGGTGGCAAATCAACTATGTTCCAACTCTTATTCTTGTCTAATGCATCTAATTCAGACTTCATCGCTTTAATCCAATGTTCAGATAAGCATGCTTCTTTGTGATTCTTTGGTTCATGAATGAGAGAGATATTTGATGCAAAGACACGATGGGATGCAGATAAAAAATTCAATGAATCATAATTTGAAATTGGATAAATAACTTTGGATGTACCTGATGATGACTTGACTGCTGAAGCATCGGATATATTGCACACATAATCTGAGAGATAATGAGGTGTCTGTTTGGTTCTAACAGGTCTAGACTGAGTGTTGCAATTCTCAGTGTCGTGTGTATTAAGTATATGTTGGGTGTCATGGTTCTCATCAGTGTTTTCTACAGTTTCAGGGTCAGAATTAGAATGGTGTAATGTGTCATTAGCTATGGTATTTTGGTTATCATGTTCATCATCAGCTGGTTCAATGTTCTGTGATGGAACATGTATGACAGGGTCATGTTGAAAATGTTCAGTAGAATCTTTGTGAAGGTGGTAATCCCAGTTAATGGAATTAGGATTAGAATAAGGAAATATATGTTCATGGTGTATGACATTTCTAGAGACAAGAATAGAATGACTGTGAATATCATAGAGTACCACACCCTTCATACCATTCTTGTATCCCAAGAAAACACATTTTCGAGCTCTTGACTCAAGTTTAGTTCGATGCACATTTAATGTGGATGCAAAAGCTAAAGATCCAAACACTTTAAGACTATGCATATCAGGATGTTCATTATGCAATATGAAATGAGGAGAAAGGTTATTTAAAACTTGAGTAGGGAGTTTATTAATGATGAATGTGGCATGTAAAACAGCATATGACCAAAATTGCTTGGGGAGTTTTGACTGGAAGAGGAGAGCTCTTCCAACATTTAACAAATGTTGGTGTTTCGTCTCCACTCTACCATTTTGCTGTGGTGAGTCTACACAACTGGTTTGATGAATGATTCCCTTAAATGAATAAAATTCAGGGATGTTAAACTCAGCACCATTATCAGTTCTAATGGTTTTGACAGAAAGTTTATGTTGATTTTCTATGAGATTGACAAAGTTTATGACATGCTGTCTAGCTTCAGATTTAGTTTTCATTAAAGTGATCCATGTGAATCTGCTATAATCATCGACAGCAGTCAAAAAATATGAGTGAGCATGCAAGGATTGGACAGCTAGAGGTCCCCAAATATCAAAATGAATCAAATCATAAGGATGATCAGCACGACTATTGCTAACATTATAGGAAAGTTTTCTTTGTCTAGCATAGCTACAAACATCACAAACATCTTTATGGTTAACTGTGATAAAGGGAAATTGAGAATGTAAGTACAGAAGTCTATTATTGGATAAGTGTCCTAATCTGAAGTGCCATAAAGCTTTTTCTGGTAAGGTTACTGTGGCTGCTATAGCAGATGTGAGATCAGGTGATTGTATAGGAAGTGAAGCATTATCTCTTAGTGTTAAGTAGTACAATCCATCCTTTTGATCAGCAGAACCAGTCATCTTCAGAGTGACTTTGTCCTGTATAACACATTGTGAATTGATAAAGGTAACATTGCAATTAGAAGATTCACATAATTTGGAAACAGATAAAAGGTTTAATGAAAATTCAGGAATCAAAAGGACATTATGCACAATGAACTCAGGAGAAAAATGTATTGTACCAGAATAGCTAGCAGTAAGACATTGTCCATTTGGCAGTCTAACATTGACTGGAATAATTTGCTTATAAGAATGAAACCATTTTATAGAACTACAGATATGGTCAGAAGCTCCTGAATCAATGATCCAAGAACTATGGCTATTAATATGCATGCAATGAGATGTGTTACCTGTTGATAGATGACCAACAGCAACTTGATTAGAAGAAGCATGCCCTGAAGATTGACTAATGCCAGACTTCTGAATTAGCTCCATGAGAGTATTGAATTGGCCTTGAGTCATAGGTGAATTGTCACTTTTAGTGTCAGCACCATTAGAAAGAGATCCATCATCAGTGCCATCTGATGCAACATTGTTAGCTGAATTTTGAAATTGCTTCTGCATATGTGGTGGAACACCATGTTTCTTAAAGCAATTTTCAACAGTATGATTGGTTTTGCCACAGAAAGTACAAACACGAGCTCCATGCTTGAATGAATTGTTTCTTGCAACAAACTTCTTGGAATCAACAGCATTAATCAGAGTATGGGACTCATCATTGGGAATGGTAAGCTGAAGTTGTCTTTCATGCTGAATGACCATGGAAAATATCTTATTCATGTTAGGCAAAGGATCCATTAACAAGATTTGGGATTTAACAACAGAAAATTGATCATTCAAACCGGTTAAGAATCTGATGACTTGCATCAGCTAATGGTTCGATCTTGCACTACGCATAGCTTCACAAGAACATTTGATGCGACATGTGCAAGTGGGTAAAGGCAAATACAAATCTAACTCCTCCCAAAGAATTTTAAGTTCAGAAAAGAAATCAGTTACCGATTTGGTTTCTTGCTTTAGATTGTATATTTCTTGCTGTAACTCAGAAATGCGTATGAGATCACCCTGAGAGAATCTTTCCTTCAAATCATTCCATACATCAAGCGCATTCTCCATGAAGACGATGGACTGAGAAATGGAATCTGAAACTGAATTCATGATCCAAGAATGGACTAACATGTTGCAGCGATTCCAAGCACGCAAGGATGGATCGAAGGAATCAACTGGAGCAGGAAGAGAGCCATCAATGAACTCAATCTTCATCTTTCCACCGAGCGCTCTCTTCATGCTTCGAGCCCATGAATGATAGTTAGAACCAGTAAGTTTGGGAAGAACTGTAACTGAACCAGGACCATCGCTGGGATGAACAAAGTATGGGGAAGTTTGATCCAAAGCTGGATCAAGAGGTGAATTTCGTGAAGGAGCCATGGAAGCAAAGAAAAGAAAAGAATGAACAAGCTAAAGATTCGATTGGAAGAGCAGCGGAAGAAGGATCGAAATGGCGAATGATACCATAATGTGAAAATCAGTTTCTCCATTAAAGAACAAGAAATGCATTAGTCAATCTTCAGGGAAAAGAAATAATAGCTTGTTATTGACTTACACATGTGATAACCATGTCCATATATAGTATAGGGTTATCTCTTAACTACCAATCAAAAATAACTAACAAAATGAAGCTAACAAGTGTCCACAAATTATCCACACAACTCTATTAAGACTATAAACTATATTATATTTTCAACAGCACCTTCATCCTTTCTGTCAAGTCGCTGAAAGCACCGACAAGCTTTATCACCATCTTTTCTCCGCCGGGGAGTTCCACCGCGCATGCTCTGGGAGACGAGCAGCGGAGGCCGGTGACACGGGCGGTTCGGGTGGGGAAGAAGAGGGAGAGTAGGCGTTGGTGAGTAGTGGTGATGGTGGTGGTGGTGGTGGTTTTGGATAGGAAATGGTGGCGAGTTGGGAAATCGGAAGCGTGTGAGTGCAAGAGTTCCATTGTGAATTGAGTGTGTAGTTGATTAACATGAATGTTTAAGTGTGTAAGTTCATGGTGGTGACAACAAAACGAAGAAACAAAGAGCAATATTTGTGGATGAAACTTTATCTTGTCGTTGCGGTTTCTTATTCAATTCCCATTGGTTGTCTTTTTCTAGTGGGCCATACGTTGATGGCTTATTTAAACTAATTTCGAAAAAATATTCAGCCAATTAAATGCACTAGGTTCAATCAATTCTTTAGTTACATATGTATTGAAAAATTCTTTTTTGCTCTTCTACCTCCACAAGCCACTACAATTAAATGCACCAATCAATTGTTTAGTTAGATATCTATCGCATAAGAAGATCAACTGTATTGAAAAATTCTTTTTTTTTTTCTCTTCTACCTCGACGTGTATAGCTTCTCTATTTTCTATCCATTTTTCTTATGTTATGTAACCAGTACATTGCTGTAACTTTTTGTTTTAGAAAGGTTATCAAATAACATTAACATCAGTTTCTGTGGATTTAAAAAATTAGTTTTTCTTTCATTTCATTTTACCCACATCCTTCATCCGGTTTCTCTCATTCATCTCTCTTTTACTTTTCCATTTTACCCGCAAACCCTTCGTATTTCCTTCAACTTCTCTTTCTCCTCCGACCATAATTTCTTCTCATCAAAATGACAAAACTTTACATGGCGGAATCATCACTCCCCCCTGTTCAGTCTGATTGTACAATATTCTCTGTCATTTGATGCCAATAGAACATAACATGATAATTTAGGTACCTTGCATTAGAACCTATTCTAACTAGAACATTATATTGAAATGTAATCACCCTAAAACTACATTACAGTTAATTCATTTTGCACACAATAGCAAAAAATGTCCATGATACAAGAAGGGCAGCCATCAATCAAAAACTCTTCTTCCTTTCAATATGCAACAACATCTTTAATTTGTCGACCTTCTTTGAGCTTGATTGTTTTTCAAATTCTTTGGCAAACTCCTTCCCAAACTCTTGACCATATTCTTTTCCAAATTCTTTAAGACATCCAATTAATTCTTCACCTCTAAACATCTCATTATTTTGAGTGTTTACTAACAATTCTTCAACTTCATCGTTCTAGATGAATAAGTCACGTGTTTCATCACTTTGCAAAAACCAAACATTTAAGACAACGAGAAATTAGGGGTGAATGAAATTTCAAAAACACAATATCAATAATTTCAAACCAATATTAAATACCTTCCTAAAAAATTTGCATCTCCAGAACTTCCTTCATTGAAAGATTGCAACCACACTTTGGTATTTCTCTTCCATTAAAATTTTCAATTGATGAATTTCTGCTTCCGCCCATTTCAAACCCTAATTTCAAGCTGAAGGTGGCAATTTGCAAAAAAGCATGATCGGGAGAATAAGCTTGCTTTGTCGAAGACCACGATACTTGATATTTCTCAAGTTTTACTATTTATTAAGTCTTAATTAACTGATGTGGCATTAGGAAGAATATCTGGCAATTAAAAAAATAAAATAAAATAAAAAAATGTCACTAAACATGGCACATTTGCTTAGGGCATGTGTCATTTCCACCCAAGATTTAAACAACTAGAATCTTTAAATGATAATGATACTTTTGCAAAATAAAAATTACAAGGGGTAAACCAAAACATCTCAATATGGCATGGAGTAAAATGTTATTAACCCTTTCTAGAATAGATATAAGAGTATGTTTGGATTGATGAAATGATATAAACTTAAGTTCCATTGTTTGGACTGATTAAAAAAGATGGAATGAAGCGGAATCATATGGAATGCATTTCGTTCCATTCTATTACTTTCCATCATTTTTTGTACCCTTCGATTTAAGTGGAATAACAAAATCTCTATATTTCATTGTGAAATACCCAAACAATAAAGTTATGTTTGAATACAGTAAAATGAACGGAGCGGAATAAAGCGTAACGGAGTGGAATAAAGCAGAATGGAATAAAGATATTATTTCATTGTTTGGATATTTTATGAAGAAACAAAATAATTTTATCATTCCTCCAAATTAAAAGTACAAAAAGTGATGGAATGGGATGTATCATAGGTTCCGCTCCATTCCATCTATTATTAATTAATCTAAACTACGAAATTTAAATTTATTTTATCTCATTCTACTTCATCAATTCAAACATACCCTAAAATAACATATTTATTTCATTCCGGTCTACTAATATCCACTCCAATTATTTTGGCATAAAAATTCATCTCTTTTTTATTTGAGCATTGGCTAAGGTTGTGAGAAACGAGAGGTAAGAGTGAAGAGGAACGACTAAGGTGCAATTTAAGAATGACTAGCACCTCTTGTTGTCAGGTGCAACCACCTTCCTATGTGACGGCGACGCCAATACTCCGTGCGGTGGAGACTTGTTCAACCATGGCAGAACTCAAACAGCACCACTCCCTCCTCCTCCGCCTTGGTCTCTCCACCGACAACCACGCCATGTCTCGCATTATCAACTTCTGCTCCAAACACGACCAATTCCACTACGCTCTCAAAGTCTTCAACACAATTCCAAACCCTGATACCTTTCTCTACAACACCCTTTTCAAATCCCATTTCAATTCCCTTTCCCAATCCCAAACACCCTTCAATGTCTTTCTCTTCTATTCCCACATGCTACAACAATCACTCACTCCCAACTCTTTCACATTCCCCACTCTCATAAGGTCTTGTTCCTTTTACAAGCAAGTAAAACAGATTCATGCCCATGTCATTAAATTCGGATTTGGTTCAGATGTCTTTGCTCTTAACAACTTGATTCATGTTTATTTTAGTTTTGGTTCTTTGGATGATGCTAGAAATGTGTTTGATAAAATGCCTGAACGAAATATCGTGTCTTGGACTACTGTCATTTCTGGGTACTCTAACTGTGGACATGTGGATGAGGCTTTTTGTGTTTTTGAACTCATGTCTCACAAGAACTCTGTTTCTTGGAATGCTATGATTGCGTGTTTTGTGCAGAATAATCGTTTTAAGGAGGCGTTTGATTTGTTTAAACGGATGAGAGTGGAGAAGGTTGAGCTGGATAAGTTTGTGGCTGCTAGCATGATTTCGGCGTGTACGGGGTTAGGAGCTTTGGAGCAGGGGAAGTGGATACATGGATATGTTGAGAGGAGTGGGATTGAGTTGGATTCCAAGCTTGCTACAACCATAATTGACATGTATTGCAAGTGTGGTTGTTTGGATAAGGCGTTTCAAGTGTTTAATGGGTTGCCTAGAAAAGGAGTTTCGTCTTGGAATTGTATGATCGGAGGGTTTGCATTGCACGGGAAAGGAGAGGATGCAATCAGGCTTTTTAGGGAGATGGAAAGAGAAATGGTTGTCCCTGATGCCATCACTTTTGTTAATATCCTAACTGCATGTGCTCATTCTGGATTGGTTGAGGAAGGGCGTTATTACTTTCGTTACATGACAGAGGTTCATGGCGTTGAGCCGGCTAAGGAGCATTACGGTTGCATGGTAGATTTGCTTGCTAGGGCTGGAAGGCTAGATGAAGCAAAAGAGGTATTGGATGAGATGCCGATGAGTCCTGATGCTAGTGTATTGGGTGCACTTCTCGGAGCTTGTAAAATCCACGGGAACCTCGAGTTAGGAGAGTCGGTAGGGAAGAGAGTGGTTGAACTAGAGCCCGGTAACAGTGGACGTTATGTAATGCTGGCTAATATATATGCTAGTTGTGGTAAATGGAATCAAGTTGCTGGTGTGAGGAAATTGATGGATGATCGGGGAGTAAAGAAGGAACCAGGGTTTTCCATGATTGAAATGGAGGGCAATGTCAATGAATTTGTTGCAGGGGGAAGGGATCACCCTCTAGCTAAAGAAATATATGCCAAAGTTGATGAGATGTTGGAATCAATCAGGTTGGTTGGTTATGTTCCTGACCCTGATGGTGTTTTGCATGATCTAGTTGAGGAGGAAAGGGAAAATCCATTATTCTACCATAGTGAAAAACTTGCAATTTGTTATGGTTTATTAAAGAGTAAACGAGGAGAAACCCTTCGAATCACCAAGAATCTGAGGGTTTGTAAAGATTGTCACCAAGCATGTAAACTGATTTCGAATGTTTATGACCGTGATATAATAGTTAGAGATAGGAACCGTTTCCACCATTTTAGTAATGGAGAATGTTCTTGTAAAGACTACTGGTGATTGATATTGCAATCAGTTACCAGTTTCTTTATTGTATAAATCCTTTAGGAAAATAATGCTCTCACCCTTCAGAAAATAGAACACAGGCAGGGAAAGTGAAATAATGTTATGGAAGATGAAAAAGAAATACTATAGAAAGAAAGAGGAGGCCAAAGGGGTGTCCACTATACCAAAAACAGCCTGCTTATAACATTAACATATGTCTGTATCTAATCTTTAGTGTCCATATTTATGTATATACATATGTAGAAGGGTATATAATATGCTTACAATGTATGTACAGAAACATGTACATATTATAGTGTAATGATCCTTGGACCCCTTTTGTTAGCCCAAAATTATTGTCATGCATGCTTGATCATTTCTAAATGTTTTCCACTAAATTGAGCTTCCAGCTGCCTGTCGTCTATACTTGGGTGCCACTTCCTTCTTTCCTTGATTGTCTCTTTTCTTGATTGTTGTGTTTTTAATGATATAGTAGACAAAATGCTTAATAGAGTATATTTTTATTTATTTACTGTATATGGTAAAAGTATTTTGATTCTTTTAAATATCTAAAAGTTTGAAAAAGAAACATGAAATGAGAATTCCAATACGAAGATTGTCGGAGTGAACGATATACTAGTAAGTTTCATGTTTGGATGTTGATGATTTGAATGTCAAACGTTTTGGTTCTACATTCCTAGTAGCATCTTCCTTCTTCAGAAGGAGGAGTTGCATCTACAAAGATACTTTAATGTCAGAAGTAAGAAATAGAGGTATGTAAATAACCAATAAGTAAATTGATGATTGAGTGATTATATCTTAGATGAACTC